AAATTCAACTTACAGTACAAACACCTCCATTGTTAGTGTAAAATACGAAAAAATGAGCCTTTTTATATGGGAAATCTACTCAAGTGCAATTCAAAATTCCTCCAAGGAATTGAGTATGTGATATAAATATTATGTAGTTGAAATCAGCATTAAATTCTCTATTGCCCTGTATCAAAATATCCTTTCAAAATGAAAAAGAAAATTTTTACGAAAAATTCCCCTACCCCCTTCCAGGCCTCTTTCTGTAACATTTTATTCTCACAATCGCTGTACCCCCCTAGGACGATTTTTCGTAAAAATCTTTTTTTTCATTTTCAAAGGATATTTCGATACAGACTAATAGAGAATTAGACGCTAATTTTTACCATATAAAATTTATGTCACATAGTAGAATATTTGGAGGAATTTCGAAGTGCGCTTGGGTAGATTTCCCATAGAAAAAGGCTCACTTTTTCGTATTTTGCACTACGTGCCCTGGAGCCGTTCTTGGAGATCCCACACTAATTTTTTTAGAGAATTGTAGCCCAAAGAGAGTACTTTCAAGTTCTAATAATCAACGCCCCAGACAATCCATATTTTCGGAGAAAGCCTATTCTAAAAGTCCCCACATTTATCAAAATTCCGTTTTTCACGGGACTGCCCTGAGCAAATGGAACAGTATGAATAGCTGAAACCTTCAGCAGAGATACATCTTTTAGTGTCCTATTAACAGTAAAAATTTGAGAGTCATACATAATTCCCATCAAAAGTTATGAAGTGCCAAAGTTACCATCTCAAGTCATATTTTTCAAAAAAAATTTTTTTTCAAAAAAATTTCAGGTGTTTTCGAAAAAATTTATTTTTTCTCAAACAGTTGGTTTCTGCATTAAAAAAAAATTTTTAGAAAAAAATGTTTTTTTGACCTTTGACCTTTGACCTGGCCACAAGAATGAATACATACATACATACATACAAACGCATTTAATTTTTTTCATATGACCCTCCCTTCAGTCGAGGGAATAAAATTTTTACTTTTTCACAGACAGGAAAATAAAAAAATATACTTAACAAAGGTCCTCACTAAGCTTGTCTGTATGGATTTGAAGTATAAGCATGCCTCTATTTTTGGTAAAAAAATCAGCTCGGTTGCTCGAGCCGTAATGGAAATATTTAATTTTCTTTTCGATAAAGTGACTTTTGCACTATCCTGTATATTGGTTTTTTCTTACCAGTGACAAAGCAAAAATTTTATTGTTGAGGTCACTAGCGATACTTAACAAAGGTTCTCATTCACCTTGTTCGTATGGATTTGGAGTGTGCAGATGCCTCTATCCTTGATAAAAAATTGAGCCCATTTGGTCGAGCCCTAATGGAGATATTCAAACTTTTTTCCTTGTCTTGTTACTTATGGGACACCCTGTATACGCGAATGATAATGGAATCTTACTTTTTTTTTTATATAAAACATTTCATTTATTAAAATTAAAATATTTTAAAGTGGAATATGAGATTAAAACACTTTACGCACCAATCTATCGTCATTTTGATAAAAATGTTATTAGTACAATTGAACATCTTGTTATTAATATCTATTTTTCATATGATACATTTTATGATATAGTTTGTAGAATGCATAAACTTCGTAGTTTATCAATTGATTTGCTCACTGATTCCGATTATTCGAATGTATCATCGTTTAATCTTAATCTTCCATCATTTGAAAATTTAAAAAGAATTTGTCTTAAGTTACAAAAAATTGGTTTTAACAAATTTGAAGATGTTGTTCGAAAATGTTTTAAATTTATCGAAGTTTTATTTATTTCAATTGAAGATGATGAAGAATATTTATATGCACAACGATGGGAAAAATTAATTTCTTCTCATATGCAGAATTTATGTATCTTTGATATCTATCATAATGGTGTTCAACTACAAAATCAATTAGATTATGATGAATTAATTTATGCATTTACTTCATCGTTTTGGATTGAGAAACACTGGTTTTTTACACATTAACATGATTGTTTTCAATCTTTTAATATTAAAGATTTTCATTCAACTCATCCATATAGGTATAAAAATAGTAACTGGATGTCTTTTCTTCTTATTGGTTCTATTCTTTTTTTTATAGAAGAAAAAACTACGAGTTTCATTGGTAATTGAACAAAGAAATTCGTCCATTTCAAGGAACAACTTTTAATTCGGTCGAACAT